ATTATATATATATATATATATATATATATAATCATACCTCAATTTTCAGATGTTGATATACTTGACCTCAATTTTAAAATAAAATAAAAATTAATTAAAATTATTATATATATAGGTAAGTTGTGACAAAGCAAGAAATTTTATTTGGTGAAGCCTAAATTAAAATATTTCTTTCCACCGTCTCATTTGAAAGGTTATAATACATTAAAATAGTTTTGTTTATCATCTCATTACCGGATCCAAGAGGAGAATGCAAATAACATGGTCGTTAGAGCTTAGAAAACATAAATATATGTCACAAGCTGTCTTCTTTTAGGTGCGAGAAAGGAGTGAAAGAGAAAATGAAAGCTGTACTCGATGTCGTGAGTCGTAAGTCATAGAGAGAAGTAAAGGGGAAAACGAGTCATTGATGCTTTTCATGTGTCCAAAACAAGATGTTTGTGACTTTTTGGATTAATAAATAATTTTAAAAGTAAAAACTATAAAAATTATAGTATGTTTCCTCGTTTGCGAACTTGTTGCTATGTTAAGTCGCTAAAACAATCAGCTTTAAGCTCCCTTTAGGATTTCAATTTTAGATTTAGCCACTAAAATAATAATTTATCATGTTGACCAAAATCTTTTTGCATCATTCCACTACGGGAAAACCCGTTATTACCGGTGGAAAAAATCCGCCGCTACTATAAGATATCCGTCGGAATTATGGGTTTCCGACGCACTTTCCGGCGGAATTCCCTGCGCCAGTTTAGCTCGCGTCGATAAATGTTTTCCGCCGCATATAATGCGCCGGAAACATTTCCGCGCACTTTCCGACACATTACCGACGCAAAAAATGATGGCAGCCGACGACTTTTCGACCGATAATTCCGGCGACATCGGTGCCGGTAATTTGCAATGTATGAGTCTGCCGGTAATTACCGGCGGATAGAACGCTGTTAGTACACCGTTAATAACATGCGGGAATGTTTACGGCGCAAAATATGCGTCGGACATCGCCGGCGGATACGACGCCGGAACATGCGCCGGTAATATCCGGCGTACGAAGAGACGCCGGTATGATCGATACGATTCGTTGTATCGTCGTTTCCGGCGAATGGCCGGCGCAAAATCCGCCGGAAACCTGTAGCATTGACAAAAAATTTGCTTTCCCAGCCAACAATCAAATTTTCACACCTGCAAACCTATACAAATATCTATCCACAACAGTTTATAACAATTCCACAACAATTTATAACAAATTCAATAGATGCACAAAAACATAAATACTCATTAAAAGGAGTTGTTCAATAGTAACAACCAACTTAAAACATCACATATTGTTCAATATTACAGATTCAAAGAAAATAAACAAGTTCATAAAATAAACTAAACTACTCTGAATCCGTGGACTCCTCCTCAGCTGGAGCTACCTCTTTTCCACTCATCTGCTCCCTCATTTTACGCATTTCATCCAACAACTGATTGTGTTGCTCCTGCATCTGCGGATAATACGCCGGAAATTGCGCCGGTGATTTTTCGTCGTAACATGCGACGGAAATGGTGAAATGTTGGTTTATGCCGACGCCGATACCGGCACAACTGACGCCGAAAAGGTTCCGGTGTAGTTTGAGCCGGAAAATCCGCCGTAGATTTTTCGTCGCAACAATGCGCGCGCCGTTATCTGCGCCGTGCTTACCGGCGCAGAATTTTCCGTCGGAAAATTCGACGGTAATCGCATGTTTTCCCGTAGTTTTCCCTCCACAATGGAAAGTCAATCCTCCCTCTCTCTTTTAATATTTTACCTCATTAGTCTTTTCCTCTCTACAGTAGAAGCATTGCTTGGTCTGAGTATAAGTTGGATTGAAGTCTTGAAATGGAAAAAACCTGTAATAAATAAAAAGAAAGCTGATAAGGGGTTGTACCATAATGGATGCTTAAGTTATATGTGGGCTTATGCAATTGGTCAAAATAATTTTTTTAGGGGGGGCACATGCCCTCCCTTTGCCCATGTAGGCAAGATAGTTTTATTCAAAGTCAAAATGCCACAGTTAATGTGTAATAGCTTGTATTTTTATTCAAATAAATAAATTTTTTTATGAGTCATTTTAAGTCGAATTTAAAAACCGTCTTCGTTATAGCATTTATATTGTAATATTTTAATTACAATATTTTTTTGTTATTTTTTGACACTGATGCAAATCCTTAAAAAAATTACATATGTCGGTACAAGTGAGAATTTTGGAATTATCAGGTGTCTATTTGTAAATCAATTTCATCAAAAATTTCTAAATAAAATAAGATATTTTTATGAATTTTTTATAAATTTTAAAGTCCAAAATGATTTATATGAATTTTATATTTAAATTAATTAAAATATGTTAATATTATCTTATTATTTTATTAAAATATTTTAATCTATTATCTTTATATCATTAAAGCCATTTCATTATTCGCTAATTTGGCAATAGAGAAAGGAATTAGGGAAATTTAAGAGAAAAATGAGGAGAGAAAAAATATGAACTTATATTTGGAGGTCGCGGAGCAATTTTTGTCAGTCAGTCTAATTAAAATTTTTGCTTGTCTCGTTGTAAGGAACTGAACATTTGCCTTATTTTTTATTTCAATAATTTAGTGTAATTGATATTTTTCTGATCAAATTTGTATTTTTGTTACCAAAAAAATGATAATAATTTTGTATTGATAAAACTTTCAATGTATACCTTTTGGTATGTGATATATTTCATCATTATGAGTATTTTGACATAGGTATATTGAACTTTTGCTAGTTAAATTTAAATATATGCTTTTTTAAAAGTAAATTAATAGTATAAAAATTAATAGATTTTCCTGTATTTATATATTTCTCCATTTTGTATATGAGATTAACGTATATTGCATATAAAAAAGATATCATTTGAATGTAAGTAAGAAAGACTGATTGTTAACACTATAACTAATACGAGTTGGCTCTTAAAATATAATATCTTACACATGAGGGTGGGCTGACTGGCTTTCTTTTAAAGAAAATGTTAATGATGTAATCCTAATCATAGGGTGTAATTGATTGGTAGAATGTGAGGACTCTTAAATGATTATTGAAATTTATATATGAAAATTGATAAATTGAGAGCTATAATAGATAACATATATGCAAAAAAACACCACATCAAAATTGAATGTCATATCTTGCTTTTCATAATTATATATACTCATGATGATATATACATATTTGATAGTACATTAAATTGATTGACTGATTGACTGATTGATAACTCATTCTGACATTACTATTAATACAATATAGCATAGCATACTGATATGATTCATTAGATGATACTACTCTTTACAGTATGTCTAATAATTTGATAGATATCTTTTAATTTCAATGATTATATTGATTTTATCCTTAATTTTTTGAAATTTTTATTGTCATATTAAATGATAATTGATATTGATTATAACTGAATATACATATTAATTCTTTTGCCTTGTATTGAAAACAATGATAGAATTTTGGTTTTCTACTAGTTTTTTTAGCTCATAATGTGAATTTTTATGATTTCAAGTTAGTATGGGAGTCATGATCAGTTGGAGTGAAATTGTTAGAAATCTCCATTTTTTTTTATATATTTCTCTTTTATTTTTTGCAGTTAGGAATTTGTGATAGATTAGTGATTACACTTATCTCCTATCAATTTTATATTAATTTTGGAAGAATGAATATAATATAATATTTTGATATGTATAATTGTTAGTTATTTTTATTTGATATACATATCTATTGTTTAGAAGCTTTAGTTGATTTATTTGATTAATTAAAAAAGATAAAATAAACAATTCTTCTAAATTTGATTCTGGGCGTCAGAAAATAGTATTGGAAATTTGGAATAGTTATTGTAAGAATTGGATTGTAATCAGAGTTATAGGAATTGATTTATAAGTGGGGTTGAAGTTGTGTATTATATGTTTTTATTTATGCATTTGATTGATTTCTTTGCATATGTATATATGTTGAGTTTGTTAATTAATTAATTAGGAAAGATGATTTTATAAGTGGAGAGTTGGACCCTACCGATTAGGATATACAAAATGGGCAGAGTGTATGGTAGCAGCTCTAGTGAGTTCTTATAGTTTGATGCAGCTAGCCAACATGCTATGAGTAATGCTCTGAGTAAATAGGTGGGACACAAGGAATTAGAAGATGACAGACATCTAAAAATATTTCATTAGTTGAAGCCTCCATTGTTCAAGGGAGCTATAGATCCATAGGCAACAAGAACTGATTATTAAGGATAGAGAAAATATTTGACAGCATTTAATGCCCATAGAATCGAAAAGAACCACTTGTAGTTTTCCTTTTAATTTAAAGGAGAAACTGAGAGATTGTAAATAGGACAACATCATGAAAAATTCCAAAGAAAAATGAATGTAGAGATATCAAGGACAGAGTTTGTTGTTGTCTTCAGAGACTGGTTTGTTCCTCCATTAGCCCGACAACAAATATAAGAGGCTTCCATGAGATTGGAGTAAGGAAATATGATAATGATGTAGTATGAAGCAGAGTTTACTGCACTGGCCAAATATGCACCTTAAATGGTTAGTACTATTAGTGAAAAATGTTACAAGTTTCTAAGATGAATTAAGGATGATGAATTGAGGCATCCACTTGTCCCACTAAGGATTCATGAGTTTTTGGAGTTTGTTGAGAGAATGAGATTGGTGTAGAATGACTTGGCTATTCAATTGTTTGAACATGATTTGAGCAAGAAGATATCAGGAGGTGGCATAATTAGGAGGGAGAGCAGTAAAAAGAGAGGAATATTTTCAGACAGTATAAGAAAATTTATATCTGAGTCCAATGTGGGTTTATTAGAGTGTGAACATTATGGTACGAGACATATTTGATCGTGTTTTACGAGGACTGGATAGTCTTTTAGATTTAAGCAGTGAGGATAGCGGATGGATGATTGTCCACTATAATGATAGAGGATTGGATTCAGATTCAGAGGGAAGCAAGCCAGACAAGGCTATAGACAAAGGACCATGGGATCTAGAGAATGCAATGAATGTTCAATGAGCATGACATGCGGAAGAAGGGTAGTTGGAAGTCAAAGAGGTCCTACATAGTCTGTTATACCAACACTGCCACCTATATGATTCAGAGTTTACAATTTGATACAGCAAGAGGATATAAATGTGGCTGGAAGATCCACTTGTAATTTTTTATAGAATTGATTAATTAATAATTTGCATAGTATATTGTGTTTGAATGATATGTGAGAGTATAGTTATTTTTGAATGAACTCGTGATTGATTGCGTGCATTATTTTGGAGATTTTGAACAGATTTTAAATGATTTATTTGTCTTGATATTGGTTTTGAATTATATTGATTTATTTTGATGAATTTACAAATTAAATTTATCTTTATTGATCTGTTTTATCCTTAGAAATATCGAGGGCGAAATTTTTCTAAGGTGGGATGTTGACCTCGATTTTGCCCAGACTTGGGCATGATGGACTGAGTTGACCAAGTCAACCTTTGACTTGGTCAACCCAAGTCCTAATGGGTCAATTTTGACCCAATCCTATTTCTAATTTCAATATTTTTTTGTTATTGATACTTTTCTTATCAAATTTGTATTTTCGTTATCAAATAAATGAGGATAATTTTGTATCGACAAAACTTTCATTGCATAATTTTTGGTATCGATAGATCTCATCAATATTAGTATTTAATAGTAATATATTGAATTTTCATCGGTTAAATTAAATGATATGATTTTTTAAAGTAAATGCATAATATACAAATTTGATAAATTTTCATGTATTTTGTACATAATATTGACTTACACTGCATAGAAAAAAGATAGTATTTGCATGTAAGCATAGAAGAAC